CACTCTTGCACTTTGCTAGGAAATCTGAAATATCTGAAACACCCTTTTAAAGGGAATGGCACACAGAATGCAGAGCACAGCACTTCTTGCTGCTTCTGATCACCCATCACAGCCTCCATCCACTGCCAGAGGAAATCACACCACCACCCACCCTTCATTTTTCAGACTGCTAGCGGCAGATATGGGAAGCACAGGGCAAAGAAGGGGCACAAAGCCCTTGTCCTACCACTCCCTTACCTCAACGTTTGCATTTCACACACCCATCAGTTCTACTTTTACTCACTTCTATTACTCATACATTTCCTGGGTTACATCAGCGAAAGTCACCAACAGAATAAAGCTGGACGCTCTTTAGGTCTTTTCATTTTTTAATCATAGACTCATTAAGGCTGGAAAAGATCACTAAGATCGAGTTCAACCCCAATTCATCCCCTCCATGCCCACTGACCACATCCCTCAGTGCCACATCTCCAATAGTTCTTGAACACCTCCAGGGACGGTGACTGCACCACCTCCCTGGGCAGCCTGTGCCAATGACTGACTACTGTTTTGGAGAAGAAATGTTTCTTAACCAACTAGAACCTTCCTTGAATATATATAGTTCAATAATTCTTAAGACAAACACTAGGCCATCTATATTCTGGACAGTTACACAAACATTTTAATTTCTCCTCTATATTTAAACAAAAAGGCTTTCATTAGATTCAAGCATTTCAGTCCTCAGGAGGCTGGGTCAGGTTCCCTGGGCAGAAAACAAGGCAGACTACAGCACTGCTAATGCCCAAAACTTCCCAGCATACCATAGAGCTATGAGATGTGTCCAAATGCTTCCTGCAGGCAACCAGGCTGCTAAGCAAAATGATACCCATACCACCTCCATGCCTGGTCTTCTACCCAAACTCCAGCTGGAGCTCATCTCCAAAGCATCCAAAGTCAAAACATCACAGTTGCATTTTTCCAGTCATATGCATTTAAGAAATGCACAATTCATAGCAACGTCCAAGAGAAAATAATCCTGCCTACCCTTCTTGAAGGCAACCAGGAGAAGTATGAGGCTCAACATATGTCAGTGTTCACTGCTTTACGCAGAGCTGGCTGCATTCAAGGCGTGCTGAAGTAGCTCAGGTACTCAGGACACGTGTGCTGCAAGCAATGCAGAGATGTAGCAGCCTTGCTCACAGTCACTAAGGTATGAAGTTTATAAGGTTCATTGAGCTCTGTTCTTTAAAAAGGTCAATTTCGATTTGGGACTCTTGAAGAAAATGCTATCTGGTCTACATAAATGAGCATATTATTCAAATAAAAGCTAAAATTACTGTTAGGGAAACAAAAAAAAAAAAACCAACAAGAGATAAGTAGAAATAAATAGCAAGGAAATTTGGTGACGTCTGTTGAAAAACACTGCAGCTCTGTTGATCTTATCTGGAAGGCGATGGCTGCAGCTAGCAGATCCAGTTCTCCAGCCCGTGCCCCACAATCTCCACATCGATCTCTCAGACAAGTGCCGACAGCTGATGCTCACATACCGGCATCACCCAGCTCCCAGCCCCGCTGCCCAGCGACTCCCCTGTAACTGCTATCTGTTTCTATGGCAAATCAACTGCGGGAATATTTCAACTAATTTTTGCCGATTTTCTGATTCAAATTTTGCTCCCTCTGGTGGAAGCAGAGAAAGAGCAAAGAAAGCCAAGCTTTGCTCTCCTAGGACCACCATCAGCTCACAACTAACTTAAATCTCTCCGATATAAAGATAGGTGAGCTGGCACAACAAGAGACAAGGGACTTGTCATCAGCGAGACCGAGCTAGAAACGGACCGCAGCCCAGCACGCTGCCTGCCAAAGCTTCCCCTTGCAGGAAGAAGCAAGCAGCAGGCACACCAGCATGACAGCAGCGTAGATGGGAAAACTAGAAGCCTAGGTGAGAGACAAAGCTGTAACACAACACTGAGAGCTGCAACCTCGATGCATTATGCAACAAAACCCTTCGGCAGCCAAGCCTTCCTGGTAATTCTTGTTGCACTTCTCTAGCTGCAAGGGGAGGGAATGACATAACTTCTCCTATTCCCTCTCTTGTCAAACAAGACAGAGGGAGAATCGTGGGCAATTACATGCATTCACTCTTCATTAACTTTAGGGACCCAAGACACAGATCTGTCAACAGGATGCTTCCCTTGCTGAGCAGGAAACCTGGCTGCTCCAGGAAGTGAGAAGATAGAGGTTTTCACCCTAAGGAGTGCATTTCTTTTTCCTATAACTAAATACAAAAAAAGGTCTGCATATTTGCCTTCCCAAATCTACAGAGACAGTCTTAGGTTGCTGATCACACCAACCATCTTCCCCAGCATCTTAAGACTGAAAACAACAAAGGGATTGAATGAAGGCAGAAGCAGCAGCCCACCACAAAACACATTTGGTTTTCAAAGCAGGCATTTCACTTCACTTTGTACAAGACAAGGGAATAGCCAAAGGATGGGTTAACAGAGCGGCCAATCATCACATAATACCTTGTGCAGGGTAGTTACAGAAGAGGAACAGCAAGCTTTCTTCCACCCCAGTAGCCAGTTGGTGGTCCACTACCAAGAGGAAAGATCACGAAGAACAAACTGTTAAAGAAGCAGAGCTCTCCTCGTGCAACACAGAGGAGAGGGAGGTTCAGGTTGGATATCAGGAAAAGGTTCCTCACCAGAGATGGTCAAGCACAGAACAGGCTCCCCAGGGCAGCATGCACAGCCCCACTGCTCTCAGACACACGGTCTGATTTCTGGATGGTCCTGTGCGGTGCCAGGAGTTGGACACACTGATCCTTTCCATTTGGGATATGCTATGATCTCACAAGCATGCCCAGTGGCTCTGGCAGAGCTGCCATCCTCCAGGTTCCAGGCTGGTAGCAGCTAGCACACTGGGGGCTGCACTAGGTCATCTCCAGAGGCTCCTGCCAACCCCTACCATTCTGTAACACACTGCTTACAAACAGATCTGTCCCTCTCATACTACCAGAAGTAGTCCATCTGCTTTCTTGCACTCAACCCACACATACATTTTCATCCAATTAATCAGGTCAAAATTAGAGATATCAACTTCACCTGTAAGTGAAATTTCTACTTAGATTCTGTGCCAACAGGCAAGTTTCTTTCAGCTGTGTTTGCACGCCCAGTCAGCAGAACAGCACAAGCACACACTGCCTGGACTCAGCCTCCCAGTTACACACCTTCGCCTCCAGTAAGACTGTAGAGCAGGATCATTACAGAGAGTAATTGCTTAATTGTAAACCACAAAATTTTAGATAAAAATATTAGCATCTACTTGTGGTTAAAAACAAAAAAGAGAAGTAGATAAATAAAGCTTAATCTTGTTTATCCGCTGGTTCCAACCACTGGCACAGCATATCTTCTGAATGGCTGCTTCATGGTAGGACCCATCACAGCAGGACTTTCAGTTAGATTGTAGAAACAATGCACTGATCAGGAGCTCTTCATTCATTCCTTTCCCTCGAGCACAGCTGTTTCCATACCCAGGACACATACAGTGTCACTGAGTGCCACACACAACCTCCGGGTGCATTTCCTTTCTCTGCCCTCACACTCTCCACCAGCTTCACCTCCCTGACACAGAACACATTCCTATTCTCTCTGTGTTACACTCTTACTACACTCTCAAACTGACAGTTTACAAAACCCCAAGCCAGAGTGTTGCTTTTTGTTGCCCTTTTTGAATTAGTTAAAGGCGCATTCTTAGTGCAACATAGTTTTGTAACTCTTCATACTCCATTCATAGTCCAAGCTCTCCTTACACAGCAGGGCTGATACTGCAGCCCACTACAGAAAAAACACACGTGTAGGTTTTTTAATGCTTATTGCAGAAGTTATCTTCTAAACCCTGCATTTAGTCACCCTCCATTGTAATAACCCCCAAGAACTCACAGAGCTCAAGCAGAGTTATTTGCAAAAACACCTTTACAGGAGCATCTGTTGCAACGCACTCAGAACAGGAAAGTTCTCCAGGCTTTGATAAGAAGTAACTTCATTACCACCAAAATGCTGTATCAAAAGCTCTTAAATTCAAACTAAATCACTAAATTTAAGACTACAGTTACAAGCAAATGATAAGGAGACAGCAGTAACACGCCATAAAGAGGTGATCACCTCTTATTCCACCCCCTATTTCCCAGTAAAGCCATGGCAGCAGCACACAGCACGGAGCCATACAGAGCCATACCCACAGGAGGCAGTGCCAGCAGTGCTCAGCATCCGCCCCATCGCAGCCAGCTCCACCGAGACCTGCCCACTTCTAGCAGCTTTTTGGAAGGTATTTCCATGCACCCTTCACCTGTGGTTACCCCACCTACCTCCCAGATACGGAGAAAAGAGAAATAGAGAAAAGCAGGTAGCTCAGAAGCCGATAGACGCGCTCCTTCCTCCGGGTTTCATTTCAAATCACTTTCCTACTCCCGAGGTGCCCAGGCACCGGCATCCCTTCACGGGAGGGCAGACTGCTTCTCGCGCCCCGTTCCATTCATTTACGCACCAACAGGAGCGTTTTTCTCTTTCCTTTACGCACCCCCCACACGAAGTTCCCCGCTACCACGAGATCCCCAGAACTCACTCAGAAGTTGCGGATAGCCCTACAGACACACGAGCACCCCGCGGACGATGAGGCCGACCCCGCTCCCCTGACGACCACTCGGCAAGCCGTCCCGTCCCGTCCCGTCCCACGTTCGGCACCGCCCGGACGCCGACACCGCGCACGCGGCTCGGGGCCGCACCGCCGCACATCCCCGCCGCGGGACCCGAGCGCGGCCGCAGCCCCCGCGCGGCGGAGCGGCCCCGGGGGCGATGCCCGCGATTCGGCCGCGGCCTCAGCGCACAGCCGGTGGGGCGGGGACGGCGGCGGGCCGCACCTGACCCTCAGCGCGAGGCGGGCGGCCCCGCGGCGCCGGGGAACGAGGCGGCCCCGCTCTTCGCGTGCCCCCGGCGGGGCGGGCGGCGCCGCGGGAGCCTCACCTGGTCGACGGGCAGGCGCACGGCGTTGCTGAGGGGCTGCAGCAGCGTGGAGCCCGTGGTGCTGGTGGCCATGGCGTCGCACCCACGCCGGGAGAGCGGGCGGCGAGGCCGAAGGAACCGCTCCTTGCCGGGCGCCCGAGGCGGCGGCGGCGGCGGCAACAACGGCGGCGCGAAGAGCCCCAGCCCCGCACGGCGCCGTGACAACAAGGGGCCGGCGCGACCCTACCGCCGACTGACGGCGCCGGCGGCCAATGGGAGCGCGGCGCGAGCGCGGAGTGACGGGAGGGCTCGCCCAATCCCCGCCCCTCGCCGCGGAGTGGGCGGGGCCGAGCGGCTCCGCGCTCGGCGGTCGCGGCCCGGCGCGGGGTGCGGGAGGGGGAAGATGGAGCCCGGAGGGGCGGCGCCGGTGCGGGGCGGCGCGGGGACGGGCCGGCCTCGTCTGGGCCGCCCGGCGCCGAGGTGGGGCCGGGGCCGCGCTCAGGTAGCGCGCCGGGCTCGGAGCCTCGCCCCGCGGCCGCGAGGGGAAAAGGATGCGGGAGGGGCGCGGAGAGGGCGTTCGTAAATAGACGGGAGCACCTGAGAGGAAACGGCATCTTCCTCCCGGGGGCCGGCAGCAGCTGCGGGGCTGCGGGCGGGGCAGCGGCCCTCCGGAACGCGGCTCGGCCGAGCGAGGGCCGGGGTCGGCCCGGTGTCACGGGCCACGCGCGGCCGAAGCTGGAAAGGCCCTCCGCGTGCGCCGTGCCCAGCCCTGCTGCAGCGCGGACGCAGAGCGCGGTGCGCCGCGTCTGGGGCTTCTGGGTACCCGGGGAGCAGAGCCCGCGGCTCCGGCAGCCCGCGCTCCGCCACCGCACCGCGCAGAAGTGCTCCCGGAGCCCAGACAGCACCTCCTGCGCTCCCGGTTGTGCCCGGTGCCTCTCGTCCTGGCTCTGGGCACCACGGACAGAGTCTGGCTCCGCTCTCTGTGCGCTCCCTTCAGGTGTCTCTGGACGTGGAGGAGATGGCCCTCAGCCTCCTGTTCCGCAGGCTGAGCGGTCCCAGCTTCCTCAGCCTTTTCTCCTGGGAGAGGTGCTGCATCCCCATCATTAAGAGTTCTCAACAACTTAGCAAAAAAAAAAAAAACCACCTCTTCCAGCTTCTGACTTCAGGGAGGTCCATCTACCACCATGGCTGCAAGCCACAATTTTTCCTTTATTGAGGGTCTGTTTCTTACATACACAAACCTGAAGCAGTACAACCATAAGTGCCTTTCCAGTAGGCTTGGGCTCGCAGTGGTTTCCCTAAAGAAAGCAAGAAGCAATGTGGTGCCAACAGCAACAAACCAGTGTGTGGCACAGCTCTTCCTCCTGCCCAGTGAGCCCTGCAACACGAAACAAAGCGAAGTCCTCAGTGACTTGATGTGAGGACGTGCAGCAGGGTTAGTACTGAGTGCTTCTGCTTTAGTAACCTGCCCTGCTGCTTTCACATCAGAATCCTCCACTGTGTCAGTGTTTTTCTTCTTATGAACTAAGTTTTTGCATTAATTGTTCTAAATGATGGAGGAGCCTCCAATGGAACTTACTGCTCTGAATCTGTAACTGCTCAGGAATTCTGGAAAAATGAAAATGAAATGTTTTGTCTCCCTAGCTGGAAGAACAGCTAGGTGAGTGATTTGCATACCCATTTAGGTTCACAATTAATTCTAATTGGTAGTAGCAGAAAAATGGAGGTAAATGTAATTATCTGAAAACATCCGGTGCTTTTCTTATTGAGTTGAAGACCACACTTCCCCCTTTTAGCTTGTAGCGTGGTCTTTTGTCTGCAGTTAAAGAGACTGGTTAATAGCTACAAATAAGTGGTTTTAATTAGTTTTCTTCACTGTGTGACAAGTAATTACACGTGTGGTAGCATCTGCAGCTTCAGAAGCAATCGCATGATGTTTTTGTAAGTAAAGCAAAGAGCTGCCTTCAGAAAGGAAAAAAAAAACAAAACACCCACACCTTTTCCCAATCAATTCTGAATCAGTCCTGTAAATGCAAACCCCCCAGATGTATATACATACATGTAAGTAACTTCATAGGAGTGCAGTGCCACTGGGCTCAGTCTGCAATAGGCAATACATACATGTATATAAAGGCTAAGCCTATGTACCCGATTCAATACGTAGACATATCCCCATATTTGGAAGTCTTAATCTAAACTTTCTCACCTGAAACTGCAGAAGAACTGCTTTAGAGATTGCCCATAGCTAGTTCTGAAGCACAGTCCAGTCACAAGGAATGATTCTAAATAAATCCAGGGAGGTGGTGTTACTGAGAGTTTCATGAAATATATGCATCAAGTAATTGACCTGCTGAATGAAGCTTTTGGATTCAATTAACAAATTGTCTGAAAATAAACTCATACTGTCATGGCATAAGAAATCAGATGGTTTTAAAACACAGTCCTTGCTTTTCCAATGATTTTCATTCTTTTTCCAATGCATATGCTGAGAAAATACAAAAATGCATTTCCTTGCATGACTTTAGCATCTTCAGAGTTCAAACCTGAAAGACACATTTATTATCATTACATTATCATTACAAATAGTTGTCAGCTAAGGCATTAAGTTACATGATTGCATCTGTCCAAAGTTTCCATTGGAAAAAAATGCAGTGTTTGGAGATGTTCTCGTGCTGTTATTTAGGAAGGTGTGCATTAGACAATGATAAAGAAATGTGTCTTAAAATAATGGTCCCTTTGTAGTGACAGGGCAGATGAGTTACATGAAAGAACAAAAAGGCTCCTGTACCACACAGCTTAAAATCCAGGTTTTCAATTAAAAGTGAGGCACGCAAATGTTGGCTGGGAAGAAATTAAGAGGAAAATAAGCAATTAATACTGTAGTGTACCTTTGGTATCAGCTATAAATTGTGTGCTGAGGGCTTCCACAGGCATTAGGATAAAACTAGGTCTTCAGGAGCCTTTTTTTTTTTTTTTTTTAAGAGACTTCATTACACATTTTTAGCATTGTTGAGAATTTCCTCCCTCTGTGAAGAGACTGTGTTGTCTGTTGGACAGGGAGACATCACTGGTGAACAGCAGCACTCTGCTTTGCACTGACACGCTGACAGTGCAATGAGCCCTGAAAGTTGTATGAAGAAATCCTTCATGTGGTGCCATGAAAAAGCAGGTTGGAAAGTGATACAAAGAAGCTAGCATATCCAGGGTAGGAAACCTGTAAGAGTTGTTGGTCATGTAAGTGGAACAGTTTTCAATAAACATTACTTACTTTCATGCTGTTGGAAATATTTGCATATAATGAGCAAGAAGCAGTACTTGGAATCACAAGTTTGGGTTGGAAGATCACCCAGTTCCAACCCCCTGCTACGGGCAGGGACACCTCCCACCAGACCAGGTTGCTCACAGCCCCATCCAGCCTGGCCTTGAATGCTTCCAGGGGGGAGACATCCACAACCTCACTGGGCAACCTGTTCCAGTGTCTCACCACCCTCACAGTAAAGAATTTATTCCTAATATCTAGTCTAAATCTACCAACTTCCAGTTTAAAACCATTTCCCCTGGTCCTGTCACTACCTGCCCTTCCTAGAAGTTCCTCCCCAGCACCCCCCTATTTCACAAGGAAATTCCACCAACAGCTGTCAGTCAGAGCTCAGGAGGGGATGTGTTGGTTTAAGTAATCCCCAGAGAGTGGCTCGATGTATTATGAACTACTTCTGGTGTTCTGTGATTAAGTTTCTATGGTTCCATAAGTGCTCACAGTTTTGTATAAAGATGAACTCAAAGGCATCTCGGCCCCAGTGAGGTCACTTGGTCTGTCAGAATGCTGTAGCCTCAATGTAACAGACATTTCCTGTAAGCGTTGTTTAGCCAAATGACCATGTAAGATATTGGGTTGTTTACAATACCAGTCTAACCACGTGACATTAAACAATGAAGAACCAAAAGAGAAGATCTGTGGAGAGGATAGGCAGAGGCAGTGGGACAATGTTATCAGATGCACCTCACAGGGCAGAGTTTTTATTCCTCTCTCTGCTCGGTAAGCTAGTTCTGAAAACACATTCCCAGCAGAAGACAGGAACAACCTTTAGAACTCCTTTTAGCACAACAGATGAAGAAGAAAACAAGTTTCAGTATTAGCTCTAGAGAGATTATCCCTTTTCCAGAGTAAACACTTATTTTAGCTTTACCTCTCCAGCTTTGATTAGGCTAAAATATCTGAGACTTCATTCTAAAGAGTAATAACTAGTTTCTGCAGAAGCTAATGCCAATTAAACCAAATCAAAAATTCTGCTATTGAATTTTGCCATTTGTAGCTAGGTCTCACCATTCCTCCAAAGCAGCCTTTTGCCATCCCTTGAAGTATTTCAAATATCCCAACACAATAAGTTTCACATGCATCGACTGTTTACTAATCTAATGTAATCTCTAATTAGTCTGTTCTGCTATATTGGTAATTCAGTGCCCCATGTGATTCCTGCTAATGTGGGTAGGAATTGTATAATGATGGTACTGCTCATTGCTAGGTCATGTAATTTTTGTTTTTCTCTTTAGTTATTAGGAAAAAAATGTAAATACTTTTCTACACTCAGTTGCTAAAATCTCCTTTTGGCTCTTTTAGGGCACTTTGGTTTTAGATTTTGGATTTCTTCTTGTGTTTCAACCCTACAGAGCAAAGAAGCCTCTCCACTTATAAGACAACAACTATCAAAAACAAACAAACAAGCATCTGGGCCAACTTTCTCTTATCTCAGTACTTAAGTTTTGTAAGTTCTGCAATGGGGAAATGCATTAGTGTCACCTGGGAACTCCTGCTCAGCCCATGTTGCTTTTCACAGTTATAAACCCTGTCTGTTAGCAAAATCAAGCAAGGTTTGTACAGAGGGATATGGGAAAGCTCACTAGACTTTTCAGCTGTAAGTAGCAGCTCTCAGGTACGGATCTTAGAAATGGTAATTTCCTGACTAAAGGAACTCATGCCTGCATGATAAGGACAAAACAACTGACTTGAGCAGCAAGACGTTTCTCTAATAAATGAGCCACCTTTTCAAAGCAAATTCTATTCATGAAATAATTTATGGGAAAACAATACAAACTGACAGTGCAGTGTTTTAGCTTGTAATAACTTCAGTGCAAGTGGGATATTGTTGTCACTGATGATTGAAAAGTGTGGGTATTAGAGGCTCTTTTTCAGAACTGCAATAAAAGCAGCGAACCTCAAAGCTAAATTATG